CACGCACTCCCCTATTTTCGGTTTTTATGTTTTGGGGTGGAAAAGCATGTCCGAAAAACTGTTTATTGTTCGTTGTATTTAAATTGATTTGTATCAAACTTGATCGCTATATTTTGCTATGTATGTCTATGCAACACGAAACATGAGGCATTATCGTCTTAAGTCCCTTATACTTTACTCCAACCATTAACTCTTTGAGCCAATGGTCATTATGGATAGCGCTATTAGGAATTGACAACTCCTCACTCGCCCGATTGCTTGAGTGCATGATACCATATAATCTATGGAACGATAAGCATAGATCTTGATAGGGCATCAGTCATAGGCTTGGTTGGGAACTCATTGTTTGCTCATACACATACAAACTTGTTACTTATTATAGTAACACACTTGTTTATTAATTATAGCAATGAACTTTGTTTCTCATTATAGCAACGGAATTTTATTACTGGAAACTTATTTACTTGTCATAACAATAAATTTGTTTGCTCCTTGTAGCAAAAAAACTTGATTGCTCATTATAGCAATGAAACTTGTTTACTCGTTTTAGCAACGAACTTTATTTCCATGAGGATATGAACGCTGCATCTCATTTGGGCAATGTAACTTTATTTCTCACGATGGCAACAAACTTTGTTTATACAAACTTATTTACTCATTTTTGCAATATATTTTTATTTATGGAAAACTCTATCAAAACTTTGATTTCGATTCATGAAACTTATATTATTTTTAATTTGTGAGTACTCACCAACTATTTTTATAGTTGACGCTCGTTTTACATGCTTTTTCAGGAATCATCGAGTAAGTGGCACTTAGGGACACTTCACTTTTAGGAGCATTCGCATGTGTTGTATTTCAATTTACATTGTAATTTCTTTTAAAAGTTATTCAAACCCATTGTAAATTTGTAATGATTGTTAATACTATGGTTGGTGTTGTCTTTTAACTTTTGCTATGAAACCTTTTATACTGCCACGCCTCGTGTTTCCGCTTTAGCGGGGTGTGACAAAGCCCAAGGTCCAACTCACACTACAACAATCCAATGGTCAAGTAATGGGCCAAAGCCCAACATATGGCCCAATTTTCCAAATTGGGCCCAAACCTCTACACGGTCTTTCCTTAAGGCCCATCCGATTATTCCAATCCAATTCCCATGGCCCATTATCACATAATCATAAAGGCCCAATTATGGCCCATCTATGGCCCAATTTTCCAAATTGGGCCCAAGTCTTCACATGAGCCTTATCCTAAGCCCATCTAATTACTTTGGTCCATTAACTTGTTCTTGGATGGGCCATCAGTAGTCCAATCGCCAAAGCCCAAAAGGAAGGCCCAAAACAAGGCCCAAGTGAAATTAGGGTTTTCACATGAAATGGCGATTAGGGTTAAGTGCTCCTACTTAACCCATTAAGGACTTAATCTATAAAGGACTTAATATATTAAGTCCATCATTGCTTTAGGTTAATTTACACATGATTATAATTTATTATTTTAAGTTTATTAAATAATTCCCGTGTGTGTGTCCCGATCAATCCCCAAAAATTAGGGTTTTAAGCCATTAGGGTTTTCCAAACCCTAATTAGGGTTTCCTACCCAATATTAGCCCATTAATCAATTGGTTGGGCTTTTAGGTCACTTTGGGCTTCTTTGAGCCCATTAGGGTTTCATTGGGCCCATTCTTGTCCAATCATCCCAAACGAGGTCCAAACGCAATCAAAGCACACCGCCACCCGACACGACGACCGGTGGCGGCAGGAAGCGGCGACCACCACCCTACGGTGGTGGTTTAGATTTTTCTTTCATTATTCCCACGCTATTACAACTTACAACAATACTCAACACACACACACACACACTCACATAAAACTAACAAACACACTAATTACACACACAGCCGCACCATGGCGGGATGTGGTGGTAGAGGGTGGCAGCCACCACCTCACGGTGGTGGTGGTGGTGGCCCTTTTTGATTTCCCAGCCAACAACTACACACTCTACAGCAGAACGAAACACCCACCCGCTTTCTTTCTTGCAAACGGATCCAGCCACCCCTGACGGCGGTTGACGACGGCAGCAGCAACCCAAACGACATAACGACGACATAGCAGCGGTGCTGATTTTTCCTCCGATTCCCGATTACTCACGACCACACAGCAGCAAATCCGAACCTTCGTCGGCCCCTGGTGGTCGTCCCGGGTGCTCACAGCGTCACGACCAGCAGACTACGGTGATGACGGCTTCATTAGTCGATGGTCTCAGTGGTGGTGTGGTTGGAGGTTCATAAGGTGGCTGATGAAAGCTTCCATGGCGGCGACGAAGGATGAGGGGTGATCTAACGATCAAACGACGACAGTAACGCACGCAGCCATGTTTTCCCGGCTTTAGGTTGAGTACGAGGTGGTTGCTCCGATGGTTGGAGCTTCGACCGATCGGAGAGGCAAGAGAGAGAGTTTGGGGTGGTGACGACGGCTGGAAGGAGGGTATTAGGGTTAGGGTTTAGAAGGCAGTTGGTTAATATACCCGACTCCCTTAACATTTTCCCATAATAGCTAAACTAGCCCCTCAAACTTCTTTTTCTTTCAATTCTAATCCAAAAGTTACCATTTCTACCCTGGCTTCAAGAATCCTTTTCAAATCTAATCCATAATTTACCCAACAGCCCCTCACCCAACAAATCCTTTTCAACATAGGTCCAAAATTTACTTTTTAACCCCTGCTTCCATAAATCCTTTCATGTTCAGTCCAAAAGAATACCAAATACCCCTTGACTTACGAAAATCTTTACAAATTAAGTCCCAAATTTTCACTTTCACCCCCGAAGATTCAATTCTTGTCATTTAGCTTCCCGAAACCAACACCCCACTAATTATTATTAAATTTTGAGCTCCAATAATATAAAATAATAACAATTACTTCCCGGGGTTCCTGATTTATTGTTTAATTACTCTACTTAAAACGGGATGTTACAATTTTTTAACAGATACTATTTCATTTCTACAACCAAATATACAAAATTTAATAAAAAATAGAATTACACCTTAACAAATTAAATTTTTTCTTTTCTAAATTATCGATTTCTTTAAAAAAAATGATAAATCGTGTATAAGACATAAAATATATAGTTGATTCACATCTTAATATTTAGTCCATTCACAACTTAATATTGTTTGTTTATTGTTCTCATATATATTAATTCAATAACTTTGTCTCATTGTCTAATTATAATAGTATTTAATTAAAAATATCCACACTACTACTAGTTACAACTTTGGAATATATCCACCAATCTAAAAAATATAATGCTAATCTATGAGTCACAATTACAACAAAATTAAAGAACATACTCACATAATCGAGGAGGTACCCGATATCTGCAATAAATGTGCCATTTTAAAAAGAAAATTTATTTATAATTACTATAATAATAGCTATTGTCATTAAGAGTGTTAATGTTGTTCTAAAAAAAATTAAAAAGCATAAATACTATGAAAATAAGCCAAAAAGGTAGAGTTTGCAATGAACACCCATTTTCTATTAATCCTTAGACTGCCACATTTTATATTTTCTATTAAATATATTTTAAGAATTAAAATTTATTATATATAATTTTTTAACAACCATTTTCGTATTAAACTAAAAAAAGTAGGGAAGATACTATACTAACTTCATTATACATGCATTCAAAATTACCTTACACACATACGTGTATGTCTAAGACATAAGTAGATATGATATATTTATATTTTATATATATTCAGATCCACTGGTTCCAATATAATAAATAATACTCAAAGTAATTGATGTGTAGGTGTGTAGGTAAGAAAGTACCTGTACTGCTGTACATGTCCTCTAAAGATGAAGCACAGTGTAATTTCTTTCTCTTATACTTGCAGCTTTTAGAATAAACTAATGCATCTACTCATGGCCAAAATAGACAAATCTCCAAGTATTCTTCTTCATGCTACTCGACATCTGCAAGAATCAAGAAGTCTTCGTGAGTTGTCCTCACCGGATTTCATCAACAAAATATTTTTCATATTTGGAACAAAAAACAAATAAATCTTGCCTATCTCACAAAGAAACACTGACCGGCTTGAAACCACAAACACAATGTCGGAGAGAAGAGATTATAGTTGAAGAAACTTGTATTCACTTAGATCGGACTAGATCTGGACAGACCTGGACCAGAAACAACATCAACATCGGAGACACAAAAAGCCCACCGGAATCACTTAGATCTAACTAGATCTGAGAAAAATGCACAGTTAAAGTCGTCGGAAGGATAAATTTGCTAACAGACCACCGGAGGCGGCAACCGGAGGTGGCGACGGAACAGAAGGCTTCCGGTGAAATTCTGTCCATATGATCTGAATAGATCCGACGAACTAGTGGTTTATCACCGGAAATCAAAAGAGATAGAGACGAGCTTGTTGTGTTTCACCGGAGTTAGGAGGCAGCAACGGTTGTGGTTGTTGACAACGGTGGTGTCGTTCATAGGTGGTGGTGTTCGACGATGGAGTTTTTGACTTCAGATCTGAAATCAATGAAGTTCGAAGGTAGATCTGAAGTGAAAAACCTTGACTGCTCGACATTCCGACGACGAAAGACGGTAGATGACGGTGGCGGTAGGCGGTAGGTGGCGGAGGTAGACGGAAGATGTGGTGTTGAGTCTGTGTTCTTAAAAGAATTGGAGAGTGTTTGAGAAAGTTGTTTTTGCAAGAAAATTTGAAAGTATCTGAAATGGTGTTTGATATTAGAATAACGTTTTTTTTTAATCTTTTGGTTATTTATTATAGTTAAAAAAAAGTATTAAAGTAGATAAAATTAAATTAAAAATAAGTAGTTCATAGGCTTCTTAACTTTCGGAGGTTCTGATTTGAACTTTTACTATATATATATATAATATAATGGTAAATAAGTTTTTGAAAAACACGTATTTAGTTAAAAACTCCAATTTTCTACGGTTCAAAAAAAAAAGAAAAAAAAAAGAAGTTTGATGTCGAATTTCTATTTTCGTGTCGAATTTCTAGACATGTCTAGTCACTAGTCCCGTAGTCCGTATCTCAATCCCTTTCGTTGAGAATCATTTCCTGTTTGCAGATTGTGATCGATAACTATGGCGACGACACAACCGACAGGGTTAGAGATTATTGGTGGCTTAGCTATTCACGTTATTGTATCGAAACTCGGACCTTCTGATGCAGCAGCTGTCGCATGTGTCAACAAACGCTTCAAAGATTGGGCTTCGGATGAATCTCTATGGTCGTCTTTCTGTGCGCAAGAACTGAAACTCTCTTCCCCTACTGATCCTTTGGGCAATCCATGTCCCTCTTTGAAGGTTAGATCAGTGAATTTCAGTTCTACGTTTTGTTTTATATTCACAGTGAATAGGGATACTCAATCTGTTTGATTGTCGGGTTCTCTATGTTTTTGATGTGAAATTAAAGAAAATCGTTTCTGTTATCTACTTATGCCGTGATGGGAACAAAAAAAATTTGGCCTAAACCCTAGCTTGGTTTTCTCTGGTTCGTGATAAATTTGGGGGAAAATTCTGTTGATTACTTTATATGTCGTCATATTCCTCAAATTGTGGAATGTTGGTGTCAAATTTCTAACAAATACAAATCAGTTTTGAAATTGAAAATGAATAGATGGAACTTAATTGTCAAATTTATATGAAATGTGAGGGTTAGCCATATAACACCTTCATACAAATAAATTCCTTGAAATCGCATATCCAAATAACCCTAAATGTGGTGTTATACGGCTAACCCTCACATTTGGGGTTATTTGGATATGCGATTTCAAGGAAATTATTTGTATGAAGGGCTGTTGTTTTGTTTTGTTGTGTTTTCTCTTATGAGAAAAGCAGAAAATTGTCGCCTACTATATGATCACAATGTTTAATTTTGTTTTCTTTTAACATTTTAGGCAGCCTATGGGGCATGGAGGGAAGCTTATGGTATGTATCCTTGGTCCCTTGTTAAACGAGTGAAAAACATTTGGGACAGAATAAAAACATGGTTAACAAAAAATTTCCCAGAGGTGTTACCCACCCTTCGTAAGGGTGCTTCTGAAGATGAAATAAACAAGTTAGAAAAGTGTTTGAAAGTTAAACTCCCTCTTCCCACAAGGGTCCTCTACCGATTTTGTGATGGACAAGAACAATGTAATCCTTCATCAAGAGGAAGTACAAATCCACTTCAAAATCTATGTGGTTTAATTGGAGGTTACTCTTTCTATGAATATCTCGTGAATGTTTTCTTGTTGCCATTAGATCTTATAATCAAAGAGACGAATGATATTGTACGCCATCTTGGATTTAGTAAACACAAGTACATTGTTGTGGCAACTTCTTCTACTTACACTAAGAAGATCTTTTTTCTTGATTGTGAGGAGGGTCAACTCTATGTTGGCACCAAGAATCTTTTAGTGAGTAGAGAGATAATGCCGTGTGTTCCGAATGGATTGATAACTTCAATTCATGATTCCAAAAGTTGTTTTCAACAAGATGGTATGTTTTTATGGTTGGAAGAACATGTTCATCGCCTTGAAACTGGATATATTAAAGTTCGAGAAGAAGGAAATATTAGAAGCATTAGTTTGTTCCCTGAACAACTTCCCCTTTGTTCTTCAGCTACTACAGGTGGTGTTCAGGTGGTGTTTCTTTTTGACTTAATGAACTTAGTAGAAGCATGACTTAATCCAGACAAAATGGGCTTAATGGGTTATGCATGTAATTTGGATAGTTATACATGGTTGTTTCTTTTTGACTTAATCCAGACAGAATAGCTTAATGGGTTAAGCCAAAAAAACATGGCTTAATGAATTAAGATACCAACCCTTTACCTTTTTGCACTTCTTCTTTTTTCCTCCAAACTCCTCTCAAGTTAAAATCGATAAATATTGTGAAAATCGTTTGTCTGGAATGCAAGGGTAAAATGGTCATATTTTTTAATTTAGAAACAGCCTTTATGTATACAACATTGTATCCAGACAAGCATCATTACCCATTCAGCCACTTTATCCATACACGACTCAATGAGAAAAAAGAAACAACCCCTATTACTTTAATTTCTTACTTATGCTCAACTTTAAATCAACAAATCAAACAGCTACTATATAAAGGGTAAAATGGTCATTTAGGTTCGTGCTTCTGCTGTATTTGTGCCCGAGTTCAGTGACCTTGTGCAAGAAAAAGAGAAATACATGTTTGCTTATTCTATCCGTATGTCTCTTAAACCTGAGGGATGTTTTATCCATGGAATGTCGTTCAATTCATGTCAACTCTATTGGAGACATTGGATCATCAAAGCAAATGATCATGTTGTTGCAGATATCAATGGAGAAGCTGTAATAGGCCAGGTATTCATCCTTAAATTGTTATATAGTGATCAAGGGTCTTTAATTAAACTTTATTATAATTAAAACTGAAGATTCAAGAATCTATTAAGGACAAAGGAAAAAAAAATTCGAACAAATTAAGCTTGTCAAAGTACAAAATACAAGTCGAAACACAAGTAGAAAGTAAATGACACATTGTACTTTGAAAAAGGCTTCTAGAAGTTTCTAGAAAGTAAAAGTTTGTTTTTTATTTATTTATTTACAGTTTCCACTATTACGTCCTGGGAAGAAAGAATTTGTTTACGAGAGTTGCACAATGTCCGCATCGTCACCCGGATCTATCGAGGGTTCTTTCACATTTGTCCCCGGAAGGTTTGTGTAAAGAAAATTCTACAATTTTTTTTTTTATGCATAAAATAAATTAGAAAATTCTACAATAGAAAGTATAATAATGATTTGCACATTGTGTTTGTAGATTGGCAGATCCGAAAGGAAGTACTTTTGATGTTGAAGTTGCTAAATTTCCTCTTTTGTTGCCGGAATACATCTTCTAATTCCAAAGTGTTGTCCATGAAACTATCTTCATATCATGTAATGCATGTAATGCATCGCATACTATCTACCTTCTTCAAAAACAAACAAAGATCTTTGTGTGCTTAAAAGTTAAAATCCATAATGATTTCTATTAATCAATGATGTGAGAACCTTGGAATAATTTTTGATATTTTGATTGTCCATGTGATTATTGTAGATTAGAATGGCAACTATTGGAGTTTTTTTTTTTAGCGAAATTACATATATATATATGCTCCTTTATGACTGTTGCTAAACCGATTGTTCATTTTAGCCTACATGGTTTACTTAAAATGATGATGGCTATTTCTATCATTTGGTTAATAGTCTACAATGTATGTTACTTCATCCTATATTGAAACAAAGTTGGAAATTTTCAAGGAGATAATTTTCGTTTTCTTTGGGTCCAAATAAATTCTACAAAGGTTATAGGAGGTGATATTTCAGCTTATGTTTTGATTCATCCATTATATTTTTTCAATTTTTACATCTTCAATTTTAACTGAAGATGATAAAGGGTATAAGGGTTAACTCATTTTTTTTCATAATATGTTTTAATTTAAGAGATAAATCGATACAAATTTTGGATTATTTTTATAATCACTACTTCGAAAGATTTTTTGTTGTTGTTGGAAATGATAGAATTTGATTGCATGTTGATGTCCTTATCCTAAAAGTCAACCTAGGAACAATTCTAACCTGTCTTTGTTTACTTCTCTTTCTTCATTTTTTTAGTTGTGTGTCATACACTTATAATATTTTCTCTCTGGTGGATGAATCTTCAACGGTTGATTTTGCCGTCATTTATATTTAAATTGGGAAAATAATTTATTAAGGGAGGGTTGCAACTTGCAACAAGGGTTGATAACAATTTGATCAAATTCGGGTAAGAACTTCTTGTTTTAAGAATTGATGGATGATCTATTGTCATTGCTAGTGAAACTTCTATATTTGAATTCTATAAAAGAGATTCATGTGTAGAAAGTAAAAATCCTCATCATTACATATACCAATAGTAGTAATAATTAAACTAAAACATTAAGGCTGGATGGAGTTGTTCTCGCCTCCAACGTATGGAACACCCCCTGACCCTCGCTAAGGCCGAGCATGTCTAATAGGCAGTGGGAGGAGTGAAGAGAGAAAATTGGGAAAAGTGGGCAATTGACTAGCTTTTTGACCATTTAAATGTTTCAACCTTATTTTTATAAAAAAAAATATTCTTTCTTTTAATACAAAAATGTGTCTCACACCACTCCTTGATAATTACAAGAAGAAGTGATTTTGTGGCTAAAGATGACGTGGAAGCTAAAAAACTGATGTCGCAGCATGCTAGGCTCACCAATTAGAAGAGCATTTACCATAAGCTTCTTGCCTTCTTCATCCCTAAAGGTTGGAAAAAAAACTATTGGAGAAGCTTTTTCAATATAAAACTTTTTCAAGAAGCTTGATAATTAAAAAGTTGTTTCTTTGAACTTTTCTAATAATATAATGGGTCCCAAAGCTTTTCAGTTGATTGCAAATAGACAAGTATTCAAACAAAACATAAACAATCAAATTAAAGAATTGTTTTTTATATTTTGAGTTTTTAAAAGAAAAAACTAAAAAAAATTCTCCTATTATTAATGTTATTTTATTAACGTATAGTTTAGAAATATGTTTGGTTATTACATAAATAAAACATAAATAATAAAATTGAAAAAGCTCTCCTATGATAGTGCTACAGATTTTTATTTATTTATTTATTTTAAGAAAAAACTAAAGAAACAAGTTCTCCCCTTATTGATGCTATTTTATTAAAGTATAGTTTAGAAAAATGTTTGGTCATTACATAAATATGTAAAATGTTTTAAGAAAATAACTAATCTAGTCGAATATCTTAATAACTTTTTAGTTTTTGGCCAAAAACTAGCATTTGTCTAAAAATAACTACCGAAATCGTAGGCCATTAAAATCGTCAACTAATTCGTCTAAATGGTCTAAGGTTTCGTGTTAGGTATATAAAGAATCTTTTTGTTTCTTTTTTGCAAAACAAAACTATAGACCATTTTATGGTCTACTGTTTCTTCTCATTGATCTATTATATCCCAAACCGTAGACCATAAATGGTCTACTGTTTTGGCCAAATGGTCTACGGTTTTAGGTTTTTTTACTACTATTTGGTAGAAGTTGACTAATAATTCATGAATTTTCACTACTATTTCGTACCCAGTATATATTACAATGAGTTACAAACAAAAAAAATTACGAAAACCGTAAGTTATTAAGAAACCTACAGTGTACAAGCATTTGTTGCACGTTTTGTGCAGTAAATGCTTGTACACCTTAGGTTTCTTATGAAGCCTATGGTTTTGTTATTTTTTTTCCAAGAAAACGATCTATTAAATCTCATCCTAAACAAGAAAAAAAAATCGAAGATTCGAAATTGAAGGCTCTATTAAGAAAGTTTTCCTAGCTTTAAACACATAAAAATGACGAAAATAAAAAATTATAGCTTTATATATTATGGGCCAATAGGTCCTGAAATAGTAGACGGTCCACGAAACAGTAGCCATTGCCCGAAAGAGTAGTCAACGAAGGTTTGACCTTAGTCAACCAAGGGTTGACCGTAGACGATCCTAATCGTCTATGGTTTGCGGGACTATTTTGGGACAATTGTTAATTTTTCATTAAAACTGGATAAGTCATTAAGAAAAATTGATAGTTTAGTAATTTTCTCAAATGTTTTTAGCAAGAATGAAATGAAGGAATTTTTCAGATTATAACTACTGTTCCTTACAACAAAGAAATTAAAACCTTGTATAATCAAAAAAATATGACGGGTTGTAAGCATATCAAGTTCTTAATAGTATATATTAATATGTATTTGTAACGCTGTCTTCATGAGATCAATGTTTTTATGGTATTTGTACACGTGCTTTTTAAGATATTATTAACTGAATCGGTTAACCAGATTATATTTTAACTGAAATGAAAGATAGTTAGGGATGTTTGGTTTGTTGTAAGACCGTCAAAAGTGCTTGGAAATATATTTAGTTGTTGAGAAATGAAATGAAATGAAATAAAATAATTTATAAATTTGAATAATCTTTAATTTCTCACTAATAGTTAGTTTTTTAATTTTAAATTTATTTCAAATATATAATAATGGCAGTATATTTGATCATTTAACAAAAAAAGAAAAAAGAAAGAATGATATGTGAATTCCTTCCACCCATTTATAAGAAGGGTTAATGTCATAAACTATTTAAAAAACATAATTCCCTTGCATTCAAAACCATGTTATCAAATCGTAAGATATATACTCTAATTTTTATTTAAAAAAATACCACTATAATCTCCTATAACCTTAGTTTGCATGTA